TTCCAGAAAGTGAAGTGACCTCCTCCAGCGGGGACGGATGCCCCGACGGCTCCCGAGTGCAAACGGCCCCCGTTTGGAGAAAAACAAAACAAAACAAAACAAAAACACAAAAAAAACCCAGCCAAAAAAACAAGAACGGAGCGAGCTGAGCGTCGCAGCGTCTTTTCTTCTGCCTCCCTTCTCACCCCGCATCGGCCTGGGGTGGGACGGGTGTCCCCCCCCCCTAGCCCGGTCCCGCAGCTCCCGGGTTTGCGGGGGGAGCGGGAGGCGGGGAGAGGCGGTGGGTCGGGATAGGGGAGGGCGATGGGCCGGAGGCTCCTTTCAGAATAAGAGCGGTGCGGGGAGGAGCGGTGCGGGGTGTTGGGGGGGGGGGCTGCCCCGCCGCCGGCCCGCCTCCCGCACCCCCCCTCCCGCGCTCCTCCCGCCGCCCCGGGAAGGAGGAGGTCGATGCCCGAGGGGGCGAACGGTGGCTGAGGTTGTCCCTTCTTCGCAGCCACCGACACCAGGCGTTTTCTCCCATCCCCTGGGGACCCCGCGTTCTTCTCAGGAGCCCGGGATCCTCCAGCTGGTTTGGGTAGAAAAGAGAACTTGGCCTTTGGAGTCAAAGATTTTCGTGTAATGGTGAGAAATTATTAGGAATAAGTTCTTCACGGTGAGGGTGGTGGAGCACTGGAACAGGTTGCCCAGGGAGGTGGTTGAGGCCCCTTCCCTGGAGATATTCAAGATGAGGCTCGACGAGGCCCTGGGCAACCTGGTCTAGTTGGTCTGACTGCGGGGAGGTCGGACTAGATGACCTTTGGAGGTCCCTTCTGGCCTGGACCATTCTATGATTCTATGAAATCCGAGGGTGGGGGCACGTTCACTGCACTCCTGAGGAGGTCCCGAGGGTGAGGAAGGCTCAAGCTCTCCTCCTGGTGTAGGAAACCATGGCAACCACCTCTAGTCCCAGCATTCCTTCTGGTGTTCCTGGCAGTGACCCTCCATGGCCGTCATAGCTCCCCTGGTTCACAGCTCCTCTCTACAGAGACCAAGGGACAGAACCAAAGGAGGTGAGGTCCTCTGAAAAGCCAGGCCAGTGCCAAAGACAGTGGTGTCCTTTAATGAAGACACCTGATGGGAGGTGCATGAGCCCACAGGCAGTTATTTCTTAAGGACACTTGTGGTTGCCCCCCTAAAAAAAGGTTGAAGGGCAGGGTACACAGGAATGGACAGGTACTGGCAGCGTGGAAAACCAAAAGGTAGGTAAATTTTGAAAATACAGGCCCTTTTCAAGCTGAGAAAATGCATTCTTTTTTCTTCCAGCAGCTCATCTAAAATGTAGTATTTTCCAAAGAGCTTCTGCTCAGAGAACTGCAATGATGGATGCCATGAGAAAAGCATTACATCAAAACATGGGATAAGTAGGGGGTAGGGGAGCTGCAGCTATACCTATAATGTCAAACTCTGGCTCTTCAAGGTTGTCTCTGAGGACATCCCAGGCTGCAGCAGCCTGTCAATGTCCACGCTGCAAGAGTACCACTGGGTGGGACACGGTCAAACCCATCGAGCAATCATAGACACACCACCCAACATGTCATTTATCTGCTCTGTGCAGACCTCCACAGCCCATCATTCCCTCTCTCATAAGGAACCTTTACATTATCTTGCGTTGTATCACAAGGTTGCAAAAGGCAGAGCTTTGGCTGACAGCAGCTGAAGCTGGTTCAACTGTTGGCCTCCTCATACTCCTCTGTGCAATGAGCGCCCTTCAGAGATGCTTCTGATCCCCAGCACCAAGCTCGCCATGTCCAGACTGGTATCTTCTAAACTCTGTGATCAACAACTAATCAACTCATTTCAGGCCCTGCACCAGAAGCTGGTACAAACTTCCATTTTCTGAGCCTACGTTCTGGTTTGATGGTAGGCAGCTATTGCCTTCAAGAGGTTGGCCAGGCTCTTCCACTGCCATGCCAGCCATCCACGTCATTGTCACGTAAGCCTGTGAGGTGATACACCGAGTGGATTGCTTCTGACTGGTTGCCAGCCATCATCATATATCCATGACAGCCTCTCCTCTTCAGGAAGCATCTGGGTGCGCCAGAACCATAGATAGGAATCATACCCACTTGATGTGGTCCACACTCATAATAATCATACGGGATAGTATTCTAACCTACTCTGGGGCTTCAGTTAGTAACTACCAGCACGAATAATTCACTGGGTTTCTTTTGTAGTCACACGACAGGACTTTGTGCAGGAGTACTACGTCGCTGAGACACGAGCCTGCAGGAGATGAGGATGGTAGTGTGAGGCAGGGGATAAGGTGTGACATTAGGAGGACACTGTCTATGTTTTTGCCCCTTGCTGAGTGACTAGTGCTACACAACTATGTGCCTTCTGGGGCATTACAACTTGGCTTTGCTCCCTGATTCAGAAGACACAGAAGCAGACTACCAACATGATGCTGCTTCTCAACCATCTCATACTAGGGGGAAGACCCACTCCTGAGCTGCCTTTTGGTGTAGATCATCTTCTCCGTACCAGCCAGAGCTTCAGGAGTGGTGTGATTTGTCTGAAAAAGTGGTAAGCCATTGGATAGCACAGGCCTGGCTGTGTGAAGCCCAAGCCCTATGGCTAGTGGCAGGGTGTCCCCAAAAGGCACCAGGATAGATAGTCAAACCAAAGGGTTGAAGGTAGAGCACCCTGGGAAAGCAGCTCCGTGTTTACTGGTGAGCCCGAGTCTCTGGTGTACTGTAGGATAGGTGGTGGAGCTGTAGGAGGCCCAACAGAGGTATTTCTCTGTCCTCCTTTCTTCAAGCTTGAGGATAAAGCATCCAGCTCATCTTCTTCTTAGTGGATGAGAGGTACTGCACACCAAGGGATGATCTCACAGCCCTTCTTAGTGGATGAGGGGTACTGCACACCAAGGGATGATCTCACAGCTTCCGAGGCTGCAGAGCAGGTTTCTTTCCAACGACCTCCTGCAACACGCTGCACCCAAAGCAGGAGTCTTTCTCCATGAGAGGATGTTGGCATCTTCGACTGTGTTGAAGATCTGCAGTTTCTTTACTTTGCTCTGCTATTGTCTGGGTTTACTGCCCAGCCCTACTGTAACCCAGCTGAGTCAAGCAGGCAGCAAACTGGTGCTGGCCTTGGCGTTCTGTGGTCCTACAGGTATTCCATGGTCCTACCCTTAAGCAAAGAAAGGCACAAAGAAAGACATCCTCCCAGGGGAAAAATGGTACCAGAGATTTCCTGGATCCTACCTAAAGAACAGGATTGCACAGAACATCTGAAGGGGAATGCCACCAGTGGGACCACTGGAGCAGGACTGAGGTGTTGTCCAAATCAGGTGGGTCCATGGGACACGGTATTAGAGGTGGGCTACAGCAGTTAGGCAACTCCCCAGCTAACCACCCTTAGCTTAACCAGCTGAAGTACTCTCCCAGTAGCCCAGGTGGTGTTATCAGGGTGGGGGAGGAAATGAAGACATGGGAGATGTGCCTTGAAAGTGCCATGGGGAGCTCCCATTAGTGTCCTCTGGACAGAAGATTCCTTGTCAAGAAGGCACTGAAATGATCAACTTCCTTACAAATGGTCCTCAATCACCTCTGTCTAGCCGTGCTTTGCGGGGGAACACTCTTCCCACTGGTAACCTGTTCATAACAGATCTCTTGGAGAGTAGTTTCCAGTCCTTGCCAGCTACTTTCCAGGTGTGGTTTCTGAGTAAAAGTGTCCCTTCTGGTGGGACAGTGAGCCAGCAGAACCTGCTCCAGCACAGCACAGCAGTGACCCTGCCCAAGTATGTTCATCACGCAGAGGAGATACTTGGACCTCAGGAAGTGCTGGGGCAATGTCCCCTGCTTAATCTTAATTCTGATGTGGGGGGGCCATATGGTGCTATTACAGAGGCACTAATTACATGTTTATGTGATCTTTTTTCAGATAATAATTTGAAGACATTTGATGAGCACGTTCTCTAGTACACTTCCATAAATATCACAAAGACACCCTCTTCATAATTTTTAACACTATTTTCACTTTAATTCAACATGCTTTTGTAGCTGTGAATTATTTCCTATGCTTTCAATGCGTGGAACTTGCTAATTTCTCTGAAGCCACCCATAACTCTAAGGGGAAACTCTAAAATGGTGTTTTGTCTCTTACACCAAAGTCTGAAAGCCATGAAATTTTAAACTTTGCAAAGTTGGTGGCACACAATATATGTCTTGGGCACTATGTTGATAACAGCCTGAAATGTGTTTGTAAGCTGCTATCTTCTCTCATTTCCCCATTAAATACCAAAGGCCTTATCTATCCATCTTGTTTCTCCTAAAAACGCTTGCAGAACAAACAGCAAGAAGGGTCCTTGCAAAGGGACTGGTTCTCAGAATGCTTTAAATGCTATAGGTTTGTTCATTTTTCTTGGTATCTATTTAACTCAAAAGTCTGAGGTTTCTTGCTTTCCCTGAAGAAGCTCCCAGTTCCCATCCCCCCGAAAACCCCCAATTTCTGAAATGATCTTCAGCAAGCCAGAACAGATCAAAGGTCGCTTTTTTGATGGTTTGATTTATTTTTTTTTTTTTAATTTATATATTTTTTTAATTTCTTAAGACTAAAACTTCTGGTCTTCCTTCAGCAGAAAGCTGCCCAGAAGGAGTAGGGGAGACTTCCTAGGAGGACATCTTTAGGAGGGGAATCACAGAATCACAGAATCTTCTAGGTTGGAAGGGACCTTAAAGATCATCTTGTCCAACCGTCAACCTAATTTTGACAAAAATAGACACCCGCACAACAAACAAGAAGCAATACCATCACTAAACCATGTCCCCCAGTACCATGTCAACCCATCTTTTGAACACCTCCAAGGATGGTCCCTCAACCACCTCCCTGGGCAGCCCATTCCAATGTCAGAACGACCTGAGAGCAGCTGCTGGATTGCAGACCAAATTCTTGGAAGGGTCTCTGGCCATCGTTTTCCTGCCTTCTCACCCAGAAGAGACGGATCTCGCTCCTGCCTGGCTTAGGATGCTGGAGACCCCCAAAAGCACCTCCGGCAGCATCCCGGCTTGGCCGGGGGGAGGACACCAGAAGCTCGGCAGAAGCTCGGCAGAAGCTCGGCAGCAGAGGGCAGCAGGAGCTGGGCTATGGGACAGCCTGGTCCAGGGCCAACAGGGCTTTCTCTTCCCTCTCTCCGCCTCTTCCCAACTACCTGACCGCCCCCCCGGGCGGAATTCCCGCAGACCGGAGCTGCGGGGAGGACGGGCTGGGGTTTCGTGTCCCGGCGGGAGAGCGCATGGACATGTGAGTGGGGGGCAACCGGGGAGGAAGGGTGGGAGACGCAGCTGGGAGGGAAAAAAGAGGGTTAGACCCTTCCAGGAAGGAGAAAGAGGTCCAAGGGGCCGAGCTCATCTTGCCGTCCCTCCGTTAAAGCTTGGTTGGCACGTCGGGTTGAGGAAGACGGACCTTCTTGGCTGATGTTTTTCACGAGATCTGGGTGGTTGAGCTTGTTTGGGAGCAAGGCTTGATAGTCCCCCGTTCCCCAGAAAGGAATGGGAGCCATCTGCAGAATGAGGGGAAAAAAAATAAATAATGAGGGTCAGCTTTTTGGAGGAGAGGAATCGAGGCAGGGCTGGGTAAGAGGGCTGCCCAGGAGGCACAGCGGGGTTGCTCCTCAGCAAACTGAGCTTGATCTCTCACCAAAGGAACTGGGCAGAGATCCTAGACTGGCAATAAACAGAAATGACCTGCTGGCCTAGAGCCAAAGGCAACCAAACTTCCCCAGGTTCTGAGGGACCCAGCCCCACGGCTGCTGGGAAGAAGGAGACGCCACTCGGGGGATTCACCCTTGCTCCTTCAAACTGCTTCCTAGTTGATGGATCTCTTTGGCTGAGTGACAATGCCTCGCTGGAACTTGGGTAGTGCTGGTGTCTTCACTTCAGCTGTCCTCCTTGTTCTTGAGTGATCCAAGCCAAAATTTTGGACCTGGAACTAGGCCTCCTGTGTTGGAGTCCATTAGATAGTGCACAAGTCACTTGTGAAGGGATTTTGGATGTCCTAATTTTGTGCAATTCATAGTTTACTTGCTCTGTTCACAGGCACGTTCCTTTCCTCCTGTGGGCCGCCACCTTTTTCGGAGTGATCAGTTCCAGCCCAGTCCCAAGAAAGCTTTTTGGGGAGATCAGATCCCCGGGTTATCCCAAGCCATATCCCAACAATAACATCAGCACCTGGAATATCCACGTCCCAGAAGGCTATGTGGTGAAGCTGACCTTCAAATATTTTGACCTGGAGCCATCTGAGTCCTGCTTCTATGACTATGTTAAGGTATGTGCATGGGTGGAGGGGTGGCTGGAGATGGGAATCTAGTGGCCACCACGGGCAATGGCTCTTCATTCACCAGGCCTCCTCTCATGCTTCCCACAAAGGAAAGGGAAGGAGTTAAAGATAGAAATGGGTGGAACAGCTACTGGCAACTCACAGCTGGGTAATAGTGATGCGTGAAGCTTGCTGAATCTTATGAGGCTACAGTGATTTCCCCTTAACCTTGACAGATCAAAGCAGACAAGAAGAACTTGGGCCGATACTGTGGCCAGCTTGGGTCAACCACAGGCAATCACCCAGGAAGAAAGGAGTTTGTATCTAAGGGGAACAGGATGCACCTGGCATTTCACTCTGATTTCTCCAATGAAGACAATGGCACAGTGATTCCCTACAGGGGCTTCCTGGCCTATTACCAAGCTGTAGGTGAGTGGGCAATGCCCTCAGCATGCAGAAAGAAGCCTGTGTGGCTCCACCAATTTTCCTCCTTGTTAGGAACATGAAGAGAAGCTGTAAGCAAGGACATGAATCTCTATGTACTTCCAGTGTACAGCAGAGAGCTAACGCTTTCCTCCCCTTGTCCCTGAATTATCTGTGTCTTCAGATCTTGATGAATGTGACCCTAACAATGCTGTTGAGGAAGAGGAAAGGCCTCAGTGCCAGCACTTCTGCCACAACTATGTGGGTGGCTACTTCTGTTCTTGCCGGACTGGCTACCAGCTTCAGAGTGACCACCACTCCTGCAAAGGTAAATTGAAATTTGGAAAGATCAGAGGGGACTCCGGGGAAGGAGCCCTTCAGCCAGGAAGGGTGGGAGAATTGACTTAGGGAGCAATTGGCAGGGCTGCAGGAGACACAGCTCCACAAGGTGACCTCTCCTTTCTTCCTCTACACCAGTGGAGTGCAGCAGTGAGTTGTTCACGGAGGCATCTGGGTACCTGAGCAGCCCCGAGTACCCCCAGCCCTATCCTGAAGACCTCCGCTGTAACTACAGCATCCGTCTGCCAAAGGGCCTGTCTGTCATCCTCAAGTTCTTGGAACCCTTTGAGATTGATGACCACCAGCAAGTCCACTGTCCTTATGACCAGCTCGAGGTACTGGAGATTAGCCAACTCTACTTCTACTGCCAGACCTGGACAGGAATTGTGGGGATACCACTATTTGGATGAGAAATATGGGATCAGTACAAGGAGAATGCCCCAGCGTGAAGGGCTGAGCTCTTCCCTTGTCCCTCCCTCAGTGTGCTTAATTACCAGCATCCTGAGGTCAGAGGTTCTGTGGTCACAGGCCCCTGTGAGTGGAGCCACGAAAAATCATCCTTCTTCCAGTTTTACCTCCCTTTGATTTAATCTCAGGACGCGAATAGCTCTGCTACCCATGGTAAGGGAGAAGCAGAGCTTGGTAGCTCAGACCTTTATTCTGATCTGTCAGTGCAGACATCAGCAGGGTGGGTAGCTCAGACCTTTGTTCTGATCTGTCAGTGCAGACATCAGCAGGGATGGGTCACACAGCCAGCAGTGGCAAACGGGGTCTGGATTGAACTCGGGATACTGGGGCAGAGAGGCGTGTGTGTTTCTGCCCCTGTGATACTAGTTTTCCTCACCAGATCCACGCAAGAGGGAGACAGATCGGTGAATTCTGTGGCAAGGAGTCACCTGGCAGGATTGAAACCAACAGCAACGAGGTGGACATACTCTTCCTCACCGATGAGTCAGGGTTCAGCCGTGGCTGGAAGATCCACTATACCTCAGAGAGTAAGGCATTTCTTCCCCAGAGGCCACTACAGCCTACCTACACCACTCCTTAATCCCACCTCGCTTTGTCCCGTTCTCTAACAGAAATCCGGTGCCCACAGCCCGTCCCACGGGATCAGTTTACCATCATCAGAGACCTGCAGCCTGTGTATCAGTTTCAGGACTATTTCGTCGTCAGCTGCAGGACCGGGTATAACCTGATGGAGGTGAGATCCCTTCTCCACTCCCTTCAGCCCTATTCTGGCTTCTCTTGAGTTTGTGTTAAGTCTTTCACCTTTCAGTAAAACTTTCTTTGGAGACTTCACGCATGGCAACCTGTTGCAATTTCTGTTTCGTCCTTGCTCCTGTTGCCTTTCTTCCAGTGTTTTCTCCTTCCTCCTTTCTTTATGCAATTACTATTTCATGAAGCCCTGGTAGAAGATGAGAGACAAAGATCCCAGGAAACATCGATAAACAAAAACACCTCTTTGGAGGGATATGAAATCAGATCTGAAGCAGAAGATGTTACCTGCCTCCCTTGCCATCCCATTGCCCAGACTGGGTAGCCCCCCAGACTTGTCACGGTTGTATGGTCGCTGGCTGCTGGTATCTTGGCCTGCTGTGAAGAATTTGTAGCCTGTGGCAAACACAGGATAGAGAGAAGGCAGCAAAGGGAGAGGAGAGCAACTGGAAGAGACTGCAGAGGGGTAACTACTGGACAGCAGTGAAAAGATGGGCAGATAGAATAGTATTTTAATGTGGGGATGGGAATGTAAGGCTCTGTACAACCAACAGAGGTGTTTTTCTCTCCCATGCAGGGCAACCGAAAGCTGCTGTCCTTCACAGCTGTCTGCCAGGCTGATGGGACATGGCATCAATCCATGCCCCGCTGTGAAAGTGAGTGATCTAAGAACGGGGATTATGCCCCCTGCCGTGGCTTTCCCCCTCCAAGCACATGAGGAGCTCAGCCCTCTATGACTCAATTTGCCTGTGGCCATAGACTCACAGATATCCTCCTTGGAAGGACCTGTGGAGGTCACCTTGTCCACTGTTGACTTTCATTACATCTTCCGCTTGCAAGAAAATATCACTTAAAAGTTGATACAATGCTTTAACATCTAAAAGCAGAAGATCCCAGTCTGGGATCCATTTTGTACCCCCTGTACTAACTGGTCTTCTCCATCCTTCACATCACGGCCACAACCCAAGCTGAGCCTGAGCTAACAGGCAGTAAGGACTGTCTTTGACTCACCTCTTTTCTTTTTTTTGTAGTTGTGAACTGTGGCAGCCCTACCAACCTGACCAATGGGGCATTCCTCTACGTCAACCAACCTGCAAACAACAACTACCAGTCAGAGATCACGTACCAATGCAACGAGCCATATTATCACATCGTCACCGGAACAGGGGGTGGTGAGTCCTGATCCCACAGAGACACTGAAACCTGTGCGTGAAAAGCCCTCTCAGATTTCCAGTTAGAATTGTCTCTGCTCCCCAGGCTTAACGCTCATGGTTTCCTCCTGTGAAGGCTCTCCAATCTTCCCCTGGCTCTGCAGCATAGCTCCTGAGGCTTCTTGTCTCAGCCTGTTCCCACCCTGCTTCATTCCCAGAGTCCATCACATCCCTCCTCCGTGCTCTCCTTAACTTTTGCAGGAGGTCTTACTCTCTCATCTGTAGTCCTGGGGCTATATAACGTACATACAGAAACACCTACTTTTATGTAGCAGGTCAGAAAAATGAAGGCCATGTTCAAAACCATTCACATGCTTTCTTTTTGCACCTAAGATATGATTTGATGACACAGGAGCTTTGGTTACAAGAACAGTATAAGGAGTTTATAATTTCCTTGCCTTAGCTGCTCACTTAGCTTCCACAAAAAAAAAAACCCAAATGTAGATTTTTTTTAAGCTGAATCGGTTCCTGGATATTGTTGGATGGACATGGACATCCAGCATGGACACACAGTTGTGCAGCATGCCCTGAGAGAGGTGACATGCTAGCACTGGGACTAGGAACAAGCAGCTAAGGAGTGCTTTAAGTTGGTACTAATGTTGAATTTGATTATTCTTGCATCTGAATTTAACTCCTTCATAAAGAGTCAGAGCTCAATCTCATCAGAAAAAAAAAAATCAGGAGCAAGTAAATATCAGCACCAGCCAAATTCTGACTGGGCAGTCATTGTAATTTAGTCCATTTTGAAAGAAAACAGCAAAACTTTCTTGGAAGCATTTATTACAGTGTAAGTTAAATTTTATATAAATTATTTTTAGTCACCAGCACAAACTTTCTAAGAAAAGCAAGGATGTTGGAGGTACTGGAATTCGTGTTGAGAGGTGACCTACAATAAAGCCTCAGAAATAGATACTGAGCGAGTACAGTAACTGACTCATCTTTTTCCTGTTTTTGGAACAAACCACCTTGTCCTACTCTCTGCAAACTATAGAGACCTGAAACTTGAATCTAAAATCCATGTCTTCACTTCTTCTCTCCCTTCTTTGGGCTAAATGAGGTCAAACAGAGCTCAGTAAGCACGCAAGTGAAGTCTTGACTTCACTCAGGTGGCTCTTCAGGCTTTTCTTCTACAGAAGCAGTGCCTGAAGTTTACTGGTCCCCGGGAACAGAGGTGCGTTGAGATGTACGTGCCATCCCAGATGGAGACATTCCAGACTGTACCACAGGTGGCTTTCCTTGGGAAGGGTGCCTTTGGGATGGAAGGGTTGAGTGCATGTGGGATACATTGGCGAAAGGAACCCCTAGAAAATATTCTATTCTATTCTATTTCTATTCTATTCCTCCTCTCCCTCTCCCTCTCCCTCTCCCTCTTCCTCTTCCTCTTCCTCTTCTTCCCACCCCATGCCTGGGTCTCATTCACTTCCCTCTCATCCTACAGACAGTTTCACCTGCTCTTCTGAGGGAACCTGGGTGGATCGAGACGGCCAGGTGAGGATTCCCAGCTGCTTGCCAGGTCAGTAAGAAACTCTGACTTACTTTGGTGTTTACCAATTTATGCTCATAGTCAGTACAAAGCCGGGACGACATGCGGGGTGAGGGTAATGGTGTCAGGGAAGACAGGGAAATCTATCCAGGAAGGCAAAAATAAGGTGAAATTGAAGGGTGGTGGTGCAGGAAAGAGAGGGAGAAGCCATGGCAACAGAAGAGCGTGGTGATGATCTCCTTGCATTTCTTCACAGTGTGTGGGAAGCCGGTCCGTCCCATTACTGAAGTCCAGCGGATCCTGGGTGGCAAGTCAGCAAAGATAGGCAATTTCCCATGGCAGGCTCTGACTGACATCCAGGGACGAGGGGGTGGTGCGCTCCTGGGCGACCGCTGGATCCTGACGGCTGCCCACACCATCCTCCCCAAAGGGGCAGGTAGGAGCAATGTAAGCCTGGAGCAGCTAGCAGAGGAGGCTAACATATTCCTTGGCCACACCAAGGTAGAAGAGCTCCACAAGATGGGTAACCACCCTGTACGTAGGATCTTTATCCATCCAGATTACGACCCTAAATATGACAACAACTTCAATGGGGACATAGCCCTGCTGGAGCTGAAACACCCGGTAACCCTGGGCCCTGCGGTACTGCCCATCTGTCTCCCAGATACTACCAACACCACGTTCTACGCGGATGGGCACATGGGCTATGTGAGTGGCTTTGGTGTGGAAAAAAACTTCATTTCAAATGAATTGAAGTACCTGAGCCTGCCAGCAGTTGCTCGAGAGAAGTGTCAGAGTTGGCTGGACAGTAAGAACAGTAAGAACAGTAAGAACAGTACGGAGACACAGCCGCAAGATCCAAAAATGGTTTTCTCTGAGAACATGTTCTGTGCTGGCTTCCTCACAGGCAAACGGGATACCTGCCAGGGGGACAGCGGGAGTGTCTTCACGGTGTTAGACATAGATAGTGGTCGCTGGGTGGCTACCGGTATTGTTTCTTGGGGTATTGGCTGTGCTGAAGGTTATGGCTTCTACACCAAGATCCTCAACTATTTGGACTGGATCAAAGGGATAGTGAGGGAGGAAAGGCTCTAACTGTTGCTGTCCTACTAGCTGAAGAATCACTGATAGCATATAAATTTCCAGACACGGCAAAGCATATATAAAGCTTTTGATGATGCTCCAAGGGCTTTTCAGACACGCAGACAATGTAACCTTCATCGTGAGCACTTCTGAGAGCCACCGTATTGTTTGATGAATTCTTGGTGATACCATCAAAACTTACCAAAGCTGCTGCACCGTTGGCAGCTTATGGAATGCTCTTGTGGATGTTCTAGTTCTTCCAAATCTTATTGCTGGATGAAGCCTTAATAATATCAGGAAATCTCATGACAGCAAACATGTTCTTGTTTCAAGTGCTGATGGTATCATCAGACTACTGCACTCTACTTTTGTACTCCATTGTGTGGGAAGCTTGCAGGTCAGCAGACTTTCTTGAAGGATGTGGTACTTTGTGCTGAGTACAGTGTGCATATACCCATTGGCATCAGTGAGATTCTATGAATATTAAAATCATTGCTGGAGAAATCAGGTGTGCTATGTCTTTCTGTCTTTGTTTTTAACAACTACTAAATATTCCCCATCACTGAACATGGAAGCATTGAAAGCAACTTAGAGATTTTATACAGGGATTGCTTTACCTACCACTGAAGTGTTTCCAGTTTTGCAATGATGTGTGGCAGTTGCTCACCTGTCCCAAAACTACCATTAGATTTCCCAGTCCAAAACTCCAGGTGGCTTCAAGGGAGGCAAAAATAAGTAGTCTGTGTGATGCCACATTCAAAAGATATAGAAGACAACAACCAATTTCATGGAGAAAAAAGACCAGGAACCTTTATGGATAGGAACTTGAGGATGGTCTATTTTTTTTGTATATTATATGAAATAAAGCTCTGACTGCAGGACAGCAGCTCTAAAATGATGGTGACTCAGAAAGATGTCTCCTATTGTATTTTCTGTATATTCTCTGGAGTTGTCTCTTAACTAGTTTTCCTACTGCAGAACAACCTACCTTTTTCTTGTGAGTCACTGAGAGAAATGAAGTCTGCAAGACCTTGGCAGGGGAGCTCTGGGGGTAAGGTCACAGTTGCCTTCTCACACCGTTTTCTGTGGGATCTAGCTCCAGATCTTCTTAGGAGTCGGTATCTCTCATTTGCTTTTGAGATAACATACCCTGGGGAGTGATCTGTGAAATTGCACATCTGAAATAAATTCATCCATGATCTCCAGAGGTCAGAATTCTGTTGATTTTCCCCATTTGTATGGGCAAAAGGGGAGCATGAGATGCAACAAGAGCATGGAAAAATAAAGATGTCCAGTTGCACAGGAGTGATGGATGAACTCTGGTCTAGTGGAGGGAATGGAGAATGAGGCATATGCAACTGGGGCATATTCCAGGTGAAGAACAGGGAATTTCTGGGATGCTCAGTGAGCACAGGTGACAAGAACAACAAAACACCCAATTCTTCAGTCTTTGTAAAAATTGGAGAAAATGACTGAGAAGCCATCTTAAAGAATCTCCTGCTCGGCAGGAAACTAGGAAACTTTGGGAAGCTGGGGTATGTCTAAAATCCCTAAAGGAATCTGTGACCCTCATAGGAACAGAATCCCAGCTAAATAAGCATGTTTCCTGCTCCCAGACCATTCAGCCACACTTCTGTTTCTCTTCTCCTCTGCTCTCCTAAATTGATTTCAGCATTTTCTCTTCCTCCTTTTCTAAAAAGCCTGGAGTTAATCAGTGAGCTAGTGAGCAATGATGTGACACTGCTTGCTTGAGCGACTTTGTGGTCATAGAAGCTATGGAAATGTCTTACCTTAGTTTGAAAGTCACCTTTTCAGAACTTAAAATGGATTAATTTTCTCCAAATTGTACCTTGTTGAGCTATTTCTGCTGCTGAAATATCCATCACATACTAAAGCAAAAGCTTCCTAATAGCAGTCTGTAAGATTTCCAGTGGCTTTTGCTCTTGATTACCCCAGATATTTGGACATGTCTGTATGATTTATGAAATTCTAATACATACTCTGAAGTTATGTATTACATATATAATACACAACTTATAAAATATTGTTACAATGGCACCACTGCATCATTATTGTTTCTTTGTCAGTACAAAGTTCCCTCTTTGCACAAGAGGAACATGAGCTAAGATTGCAGCTGGGACTAGTTACTAGGCATGGACGGTTCCCTTTTGTGCTCCAATGGATGAAAGATGAGATGAGAGTCCACCTACGTAGCAACAAGAAGGAATGACTGTAAAACTTCACACTAGTTTAAAGTTGCCACATACAGATATAAAAGTAAAAAGTATTCAACTGTGACCTGTAGGTCATAGTTCCTTAGGGATGTAGGATGAGATCTTGGTTACTAGTCCAACAACAAAATAAGCTTTTGCTTGTTACACAAATTTGAAGGTGTGGGAATCTATACTAAAACTCCCAAGAGCTGCACACATCCTCCTCACCGTTTCCTACGCTCTCAGAAAAACTTAGGCTGGAAGAGGAGGTCTCTAGTCCAAGACACCGCTGGCAAGCAGGACTAACGTCAGAGCCTCAGAGCCTTGCCTAGGAAAGTTGTGAACATGTCCAAGGACAGAGATTCCCCAGTCTTTTATCACACTCATTCCAGGGCAGACCCACACCCTGCGAAAAAGCCCAACTGGAAAACCCCTTAATGTAACTTGTGTCTATCGTCTCTTGTCCTGTCACTGTTGTTGTTTCTGAAGAGTCTTGCTCTGCGTACTGGGGCATATTCCAGGTGAAGAACAGGGAATTTCTGGGATGCTCAGTGAGCACAGGTGACAAGAACAACAAAACACCCAATTCTTCAGTCTTTGTAAAAATTGGAGAAAATGACTGAGAAGCCATCTTAAAGAATCTCCTGCTCGGCAGGAAACTAGGAAACTTTGGGAAGCTGGGGTATGTCTAAAATCCCTAAAGGAATCTGTGACCCTCATAGGAACAGAATCCAAGCTAAATAAGCATGTTTCCTGCTCCCAGACCATTCAGCCACACTTCTGTTTCTCTTCTCCTCTGCTCTCCTAAAGTGATTTCAGCATTATCTCTTCCTCCTTTTCTAAAAAGACTGGAGTTAATCAGTGAGCTAGTGAGCAATGATGTGACACTGCTTGCTTGAGCGACTTTGTGGTCATAGAAGCTATGGAAATGTCTTACTTTAGTTTGAAAGTCACCTTTTCAGAACTTAAAATGGATTAATTTTCTCCAAATTGTACCTTGTTGAGCTATTTCTGCTGCTGAAATATCCATCACATACTAAAGCAAAAGCTTCCTAATAGCAGTCTGTAAGATTTCCAGTGGCTTTTGCTCTTGATTACCCCAGATATTTGGACATGTCTGTATGATTTATGAAATTCTAATACATACTCTGAAGTTATGTATTACATATATAATACACAACTTATAAAATATTGTTACAATGGCACCACTGCATCATTATTGTTTCTTTGTCAGTACAAAGTTCCCTCTTTGCACAAGAGGAACATGAGCTAAGATTGCAGCTGGGACTAGTTACTAGGCATGGACGGTTCCCTTTTGTGCTCCAATGGATGAAAGATGAGATGAGAGTCATCCTACGTAGCAACAAGAAGGAATGACTGTAAAACTTCACACTAGTTTAAAGTTGCCACATACAGATATAAAAGTAAAAAGTATTCAACTGTGACCTGTAGGTCATAGTTCCTTAGGGATGTAGGATGAGATCTTGGTTACTAGTCCAACAACAAAATAAGCTTTTGCTTGTTACACAAATTTGAAGGTGTGGGAATCTATACTAAAACTCCCAAGAGCTGCACACATCCTCCTCACCGTTTCCTACGCTCTCAGAAAAACTTAGGCTGGAAGAGGAGGTCTCTAGTCCAAGACACCGCTGGCAAGCAGGACTAACGTCAGAGCCTCAGAGCCTTGCCTAGGAAAGTTGTGAACATGTCCAAGGACAGAGATTCCCCAGTCTTTTATCACACTCATTCCAGGGCAGACCCACACCCTGCGAAAAAGCCCAACTGGAAAACCCCTTAATGTAACTTGTGTCTATCGTCTCTTGTCCTGTCACTGTTGTTGTTTCTGAAGAGTCTTGCTCTGCGTACTCTCTAGCTCTCCTGTAGATGTCTGACTGCAGCAGTGAGATCCCCCCTCTTAGCCTCCTCCTTTTCAAGCTCAACAAACCCAGCTTCCTCCATCTTTCACCATATGCCATCGGCACCAGTTCTCTGACCAGCTTAGCAGAAAGATATGTGTGAGTGATATAGGACCTTCTGGAGCAGAAGACACTCCTAACATACGTCAGGTAGTCTTCTCCAACAACACTACCTTCCCTAAATCAAGCAACCTTTATTTCTTATCTAACACATTTAAGTTTGAAAAATTAAGCCCTGAGGGCAGATAAATGTCTTTTCTGCTCAGCTTGATTCAGAAATCTGAAGTCCTCATTGCTGCTAATGGTTGTTCAAAGAGATGCAACCATCTCAGAAGAATTTCATAAAGGCTCTTGGGTAGAGACGTGAGGTAGCACAAGTTACAGCTTGACAAAAGCTGGCAGCATAATGGGTCAAAATGTAAATAGACATTTGATTTAGGGAGTTTCAAGGAGAACTAGGTCTAGATCGAGAAGAAGAAAGGCAACAGACACACAATAGCACATTGCACAACAGGCAATTTGGGCATTCTTTAATGCTATTAGATATTCTGAACAATACAGGAAATACATCAATCAAAAACCAGGCTCTGAACCTACCCTGGGAACAAACCATTATTGTCTCTCATCCTTACTGAAATCTGCCTCTCAGGTAGAACATGGGTAGGTCCTCTCCAAGTGGGAAAAAACGGGATAGAAAAAAAAGAGAGGAAGCAGAAGGAGCCTCTTTATCCAGCAGCATCTTCCTCTTATGCTACTTTGAGTGGAAGAAGAATGAGAAATTCCCTTCCCAGACACAAGGACAGTGGGGAAAACCAATCCATACTCCTGACTCAGCACAGACACAATGAGTAGGCCTGTTATATACACAGAGTGAATGGGATCACAGCCAGCCTGAACATGAAACCGTCACATTTAGAAAGGGTGCCTGTGCTGAAAGGAGAAAGAGCTAATCCTCCGAAGATTCTGCATCCTCATGCTTGCTCATGGTCTCTGTAATCCAGTCCAAATAACGTACTACCTTGGTGTAAAGACCAAAGGTACCGCATTTTGGTCCCCAGGAGACCAGCCCAGCCACATAGTACCGTCTCTCATCAAGAGGATCTTGGATAGCGTAGGCTCCCCCACTATCTCCACTACAGCTGTCCTTGTCACCACCAGCACAGATCATATTGTCAGTGAATCGGTAAGCACTGGAATTAGCAGATCCCTCTGGTTTCACAGATCGGCACTTATCCATGTCCACCACAGGAATCTGGGCCTTCAAAAGATAACGAGGCAGTACTCGTCTGTTGTTATGGCCCCAGCCAGCAATGTAGCCCAGAGTCCCTTCTTGCAGCTCATACTCAGGTGATTTACCAGGGAGACAGAGGGGTAAGAT